AGAATGACATTATATTTCTTCCTGTATAGTTGAGGATCAGAGGGAAATGGAACAGAAGCAGAAATGCTAGAGTTATAGAATGTGGGCTGGGGATGCGGCTCAGTCTATCAAGTGCTTGCTATGAAAGCATGGGCATGCCAGTTGGGTTCCCAACACCTGTGTAAAAAGCTGAACGTGGTAACGTGGGACACACCTGTAATTTCAGCACTGGGAGAGGGAGCCGGGAGGAGCCCAGAGTCTTGCTTTCCAGCTAATCCGGCTGAATTCTAAAGATTCTGGGTCAGTGAGAGGACTTGTCTCAAAAATGTGCAGAGTGATGGAGGAGGGCGGCTGTCATTGACCTCTGGCCACCATCCCTGCACGCACACGTGCACACACACAGAGCCATTGCACTCTTCCTTGATAACACTTATTGTTGTCACCAATCTTGCCGTTCTGACAGGTTTGGGGCTGTTTGGGTGCTTTTTTTCTCCTCCATGAGTTAAAGGCGTTTGGTGTGCTTAATAACAAAGCCAGTAACCAATCTGTGCTATAGCCACACTGACTCCAAGCAAGACTCACTAAGGTCAGCCAAGCCCTGAGCACATTTAAATCTGCACACTTTCCACCTTAACGCTGAACATCTAAGCACAAAGTGGAGGCTAAAAATAGACCTAGCCTGGTGCTCACATCCACTGCAGAGGGCTGCATCTCCAACGCAAGGGGCCTCTATCAGCAGCACTGTCCACAAGTCATAGAAACATCTCAGTTAGCCGGAAAAATCCTTCCATTTCGAATGAACTTAAAAACAACCTGAAGACATGATAAGGACACTAACTCTACTCCTGCTTCTAAAGAAGATAGACGGAGCTGCCTCCACAGTCAGGCTTCTTTCTCTCTACACGGCACGATACAAAGAAAAGAAGGTGATGCTGGATTTTCTCCCAACATGCACTGTTCCTAGATCATCCTGTTCTCACCAAGGATCTTGAACTGAATCTTGCTGGAACAGGAGCAAGTCACTGACAAATACCAACCTACATACACAGTATGGACAATGTATGATGTGGGACATGGAGAAATGATTACAGTTTGTTTCCTATATAAAGTCTGTCTGAGGCTACATGGCAAGATCCCCACTCCCTTCAAAAAAGCCAGTCTAATTATTAATATTTGAGATGATATATTAAGTTATAAATAAATAAGATACTGCACAGAGACTAAATAAAACATATAAAATTAAAGTGGTTTGAACATAAAGTTTGCAATGGATCTAAAGAAAGAAAAAAATTTTAACATATAAATGTAGAATATTCTATCAATTCTTCCATGTTGGAAAAATGAAATAAATATACAAGGAATTAGCTGACAACTTCATGATCATAAAAATAACATCTTATGTAGACACAGTGCAGTCAGTCCAGGTAAACGGATATTTAACATCTAATCCTCCTCACTGCAAGACAGCTGCTTTCCGAAATGAAGTTCTTGAATAAGGCTATGGAACATTCTTCAAGAGACCAAACTGATACTCACACACACACACACACACACACACACACACACACACACACACACACACAC